TCTCTATCAGCTGTATCCTCTTCCCTCTTCATACACGTGTTACATACTATATGTCAACCTGTAGAAACAAGGCAGGAACTTAAGTATCTTTAGGTCCTAGACTATGTGTTATCTTATTTAATAAACACAACTATCTTATAAGGTTTTTTTAAAATCTTAAACATTAAAATAAAAAACCCAAATGAGGTTAAGAAAAGCCCCAAATCATACAGCTAAGTCATGACAGAGCTAGAATTCAACCCAAGTCTAACTCCAGAGTCCATAGTCAACTACCATGCAGTATATGACCCAGAGCAAGTCTTCCACTCTTGTATGTGTGTTAAGTGGGGCTATTGAGAGAATATGGTAATGATTAATTTATACAAAATATTTAACACAGCATAGTATCTTACACATATTACCCAATAATCTGTACTCACTCTCATTACAGAATACTATGACAGGGTTAAAATGTCAATAAAACATGCTTCCTGCCCTTGAAAAATCTAATAGGGTATGGTGGGTAGACTTCTAAAATAGCACTCCAGTGGCTCTAATTCATGGCTCTTTACCCATGAAGACGATGAGATATCACACTCATGACTATATTGCATGCAAAAGGGATTTCCGAATCAGTTGACTTGGAATTACTCAAGAGGGAAATTATCATGGTAGGCATTCCTCATCTAATCATTTGAGCCCTTTAAAAGCAAGCACTTTCAATTGGGAGCAGCTGAAATAGTCAGAGATTTGAAGCATGAGGGAGGCTTAATGCACTGTTGCTGACTTTGAAGGCTGAAGGGGCTACCTGCAAGGGCCACAGCACAGTTTCTAGGAGCTAAGAGTGACCCCTAGCCAACAGCTAGTCCTACAAGCACAGGAACTGAGCATGAAGTACCCAGTAGGGCGTGGCAGGTTGGAGCTGGGTTGTAATGGTTTCTGTAAACTGTGGAAGGTGATTTGAACTTTTTATTCTGCTTCACTGGAAGCACATTTTAAAAGAATTTTTTAAAACTAACTGAAAATACCTGAAGAATCTAACACAGCATGTGTATGAGTATGTATGTATGTATGTATGTATCTCATATCTATACTTTTATATTTTGTATACATAAAACACACATTTTAATATTTGAGATAAGTGAATAATTCCTCTTACTACTCTTCTCCCTATTAATATAAAATTATAAAATTGTTACAATTAATTCAGTTAAAGATATTTATTAAGAGGGCTAAGTTCAACAAAAATGCATCCATTCATAAAAATAATTTTGAGTAGATAAACAAAATATAAAAATATTTTAAACAAGACACCAAAAAGTATTCATTTTCAACAAAACTATTTTGATATCTTGAAACATCTGACATAATTATGTATATACAAGATCTTTTCAATCTACCTCTTCTTTAGTAGTTACATTACGAGATTACCATGTCTCAAAAGCAAACCGCTGCAATTTAAAACACACTTTTCCATAAGATCTGGAATGATCTTTCCTAATTTTCAAATGTGTCGGGATTAGTATTTTCTCCTATACTCAGATAAAGAAAAATGTTTGTTAAAATTTCTGTAACTTTTTTTTGTTGTTAATTGAATATAGTTTGTTTCTCTAAGCACATTGATTAGTAGGCCTCTCTCCCTAAAGTTTTTTTTTTTTTTAATGTTCAATATTTCTGACCACACTACAGATTTAGACATAAAATGCTGAAATAATACAACTGAGCCAGGATTGCTCATTTCTCTCCCCCGTCTCTGAGGTGCTCTGCGGGAATAAAGTACTGAGGGAGGTACATTAAAATAAGGAGACTCCTTGTGGCTAGCAGCGACTGAATATCCTAGGTACCTAATTTATTGCAGTGGCTTAAGCTCTGGGGAAATTATGCATCACTAAACTAAAAGTAAGGTTATGTCAATGGATTTTTTAAAGAGTATACTTTAAGAAGGATTATATGTAAACATTTTAATAATGTTAATTATACAACATGGCTATAGAAATGTTAGTCTTATAATAATTAGCATCAGCTACTTGCTATGTCTTTTTCTGATTAAACTGATTCCACCACACTGTCTACTTACATCAGTCTAGTCTAGAGGAGCACTTAAAGATAAAAAGTTAGAAAATGTCTCCGGAAATCAGTTCTTTTAATGTATAGAAGTTTCAATTACATGACTTGGGCTTGCTTACCAAATGCCTTTGGTACTTTAAAAAATGTATGTTCATGATATAATACTTTTTAATCCAGAAGTTGGAACCATATTTAATTAAAAAATAAAAATTATAAACAAAGCCAATTACACAAGCACGTCGGAAAATAACACACCGTAATATATTTTCGAACAAAGACTTGTCTTTTAAAAACCCAAAGGTAACATCTTTCCCAGAGTTAACTAAGAACATCCATGATCCAGAATAAGCAGATTTCTTTTTTTTTTTTTTTTTTGAGACGGAGTCTCGCTCTGTCGCCCAGGCTGGAGGGCAGTGGCCGGATCTCAGCTCACTGCAAGCTCCGCCTCCTGGGTTTACGCCATTCTCCTGCCTCAGCCTCCCGAGTAGCTGGGACTACAGGCGCCCACCACCTTGCCCGGCTAGTTTTTTTGTATTTTTTGTATTTTTTTTTTTTTAAAGTAGAGACGGGGTTTCACCGTGTTAGCCAGGATGGTGTCGATCTCCTGACCTCGTGATCCGCCTGTCTCGGCCTCCCAAAGTGCTGTGATTACAGGCTTGAGCCACCGCGCCCGGCCAGCAGATTTCATTTAACTATTAATAGCAATGAAGCAGTTACACACAAACATGTAAACATATGTAAACATTTAAAAATAATAATGCCTTTGAAATGTAAGGGGAAAATGTCAACTTTGTCTACATTATAATTTAAGACTAACAGTGAAGATAGCTACTAGAATATAAATGGTCATCAGTTAAAGTTTAATTACTATTTGATAATTCACTCTTTAACAAGAAAATGAGTTTTGATAAATTCAGACCACAGGGACAAATATTCTTCTTGCAGAGCAGTTCTTGCTCATGGTGCAATGCAGCATTCTGTCCATGTAGTACAGTTGTACCTCAGTCGTGGTAACACAGGTGATTACATTCAAATGGCATTTAACATAAATTGCACCAAACTGCCCTATAATTTCATTTTGGACTGAATTAATTAACTTCTCAGTAGGTGGCTGAGGTGCTGAACAACATAAGCCTAAAGAAATACTTGACTGCTTAACCTACCTTACGTGAGGTGTCTCTAATTCAAGACAGCTTCCATTTTTAATAAATAGTACCAGGTAAAATGCATTTAGTAGGATCCCAAAGGGTAAAGATAAGGCATTTATAATAAATGGATTTAGTTTTCCACATATATTCACAACCATTTAAAAGAAGTCAGGGGGCACTGCAGACAGCTAAGGAGGATTTAACAAAACTCAGCAAGAGTTGGCATGCCTGATATTTTTGAAAGACTATTTACCTTAGGAGGTATGCATTTAGAATTTTAAAAATGTCTTTTTTGCCCTTGCAAGATACTAAAATACAAAAGTTACCACTTAGTAGCAATTAAAAATAATACTATCTTAATGCTGAATACGTAATTTATATCCCAGAGCTTGAAATGTAAATGTAATTGTCTAAGACATTATCTTTAGATCATCAGAATTATCATATCATAAAATATCTATTCTATTTCCCCAATTATATTATCAAGAGCTGACAGCTAACTCTTTGCTTCAAGTTTATAGTCTTCATATATCAAGAAACAAATTAAAAGGACAAACAAGGAATGTGAAAGCTCATAAAAAGCTGAAGCAGCTTTCATATTACATGGCATATTTCTTTGTCATAAACTTCTGGTTTAAGAAATGAGAAAACAAACACTTCTTTTGAAACACTCTTTAACCCAGTGCTTTACTATTTTTAGATTTTTTTTTTTTTATAACTGTAAAGGAAGGGAAGGAGGAGAGACAGAGGGAAAGTGGGAGTGGGGGATGAGACAGAGAGAGAGGAGAGGGTGCCAGAGAAAGAAACAAAGACAAAAAGAAAGGAAAGAAAGAAAATAACCAACTTCGTATTATAACTACACTCTTTTGGGAAGAGGTAAATTAGCATTTCAGGAGCTGACCACACCAGGCCCATTTCAGACTTGTAACATAGAGTAAGCTAGGCCTCCCCAGAAAGAGACTGAGTAATTTGGTGGGGAGGAGGTGGTGGTCCTTGCTCAGGCTTTTAAATGGTTCTAGGTAAAAAGAGCTTCAGACCTGTTTCAAAGTTCTGCTCTGAGGGCGTAACTGCCAGGTAATTTCTATATGAATATTTTCTTTTTCTTATACAACTTAAATCCTTCCTGCTATTATTTGCATGAGGAACAATGACAAGAATATAATCTGGAAGTTTTAATACTGATTTGTAATAAAGGCAGGCATCAACTAGGAAAAAAAAAAGAATGCTTAGATGCCAGCTTCAGAAACAATTTTGCCTGCAGCATCTTCTAGCTCAATAATTTAGTGGCAATGACAATCACAAATGCTGTCAAAAACAGCAATGAGGTTTTAAAAAATAACCAAAAATTCAAACATTATCCTTTAGATTTTTAATGTCATTTATTGAAATGGCAATCATAACAGAAACTTACGAGAGCCTTCTAGTTAGAAAATTATATCCACTTTTTAAGGTTTCCACACATGTGATGATCTCTATATGCCATCAAGCAGGCATATAGTATTTTCTTCTCACCCAAACCTGTGTCTGTCCTGGTGTTACCAGTCACAAGAAACCTTTTGTTATCATCACTCCCTTCACGATTCAATACTTACTAGGAGTCCTGGGCAAACACAAAAGTGTCCTGGCAGTTACATCATTCTCTATAAATGAAAAAGACCCTGCTATCTGAAAATAATGAAAGGCTCCGTTTAAATTAATGTGGTTTTTTGGTCAAGTGTTCATTTTACTTTGTAATCATGTAGTTCTGATCCAAATAGAGTTCTTCCTAGCTTTAAAAAGATCTCGAGATTATACACGGGGCAGCAATTTAATTCTTAATTTTTTATTTCTTGCAATGACATTTAGGGTTCAGTGTGATTTGAGATTTTTAGTGCTGTTGCTGACACCTGATGGAAACTGTTTTATTTGGAAATTCTGATTAGATTTTTAAAACTGTTCTCTTGTTTACAAAAAGCATTATTATAAAAAATGGATTTTTTTGTTCCTTTAAGGTATTTTTCTGGTATTTATTCCTCACTTGACTTTATAATCCTGTTTGGGTCACTATGATTAGTTGCTATGGAAATTACCTCCTATGGAAATGATTCCAATGTCATTGTTGTAAGAATATGACTTTTAATGAAAAATACCGCTAGCAGACATCAACTCTTACTAGGAAAAGGAAATCTAATTAAAATTTTAAAAAAGAATTCTGAAAATTATTTACCATGGCCAACTTTTCTGATATTTTTGAATCTCCCATCTTCTTTTTAAATACGTATTAAATGAATTTTAAGGTGTTGATCAGCTACTCACTTCCCTAAATTCCAAAGTCACAATGGAAATCAGCACCACACACAGAAAATTGAATGTAAAGAGTATTTCATCTACCATTTCTCTAATAAGTGTTATGCTTCATTTATGAAAGTTAATGTCAACAGTATTTCAGGGCTCATCAAGGAAACAAGTTTGAATAGCACATTACAAATTCCCTTTAAGATGAAGAATTTAATATTCCAAAATTTATCCCAGGAATTTAAAAGGTCAGGCCTATAAACTAGTGAGTTAAACAATAGATGAGAGCCAGTGAACCATTAGATGAGAATTCCAGAATGCTAAGAAGAAAATTTTCTTGGGTGGATTCTATAATTTGTGGTTTGAATAAAACCTTTGAAACATTCCATTAGTATTAAAATTCTCACAATGAGAATATGGCTCATATTTAACACATTTTAAATTACTAGACAGTCTCTCCCCAAAAGAAATTTTAATGCTTTATTCCGCCTAGGGCTTATTCACTGCCTGGTACTAATTTAGGAATAAATTAACCCTTCCAACAATTAGGATATTGTCTAGAAACTGCCTCTTGCACACTGCTGGAAAAATCACTCACATTCTGAAAATCAGGAGTAAAAGAGAAATCCATTTCTTCATTATAAAATGTTTTTCTATACCTAATAGCTTATTAATTATTGGTATAAATCACTATCATATTTACCTATATACTTACACATTACTCTATAATGCCTCTGAATTAAGCTTCACAGTTATAGATTTTGTTAAATGTTTTATCATTAAGAGTTTTCTAAACTTGTGCCTGCAGCCATGATCTAGGGTCCAGAATGTCTTTGATGGATTTCTGCCTTGGAGCTGGCACTGGCTTGGCTTCAAAATTGGTTTTAGTGTCTGTGTGCTCACCATCACTTAATCTATTTTTCCTGGCAGGGAGAAGTTTTCGAGGAGCAGCCATTGGTTTCTGTAAGTGATGCATTAGGGTTGATAGTTTGGTATCCAAAGACGATGTCTGAGATACACTTGTTTTTCCCCAGTTGTCCTTAACCAATTGATCTGTGTTACTCTGTGATTTTAAGCTGAATGGAAGTTTATCAGGAGGAGGAAGCGGAGCTCGTCTCTTTTTCCCTTTTTCATCATGTAATGGCTCACTTGCAGGAGACAGTACCTTTTTCTGGATGACCATTTGATGGTTACCATCAAAGAGTGTGGCCCAAGGAGGTGGTAAGGATTCTTCATGCTGACCAATAAGGAACTGCCCATTTGTCTCTTCAATTTTTTTTTGTATTATATCCGTTAAACTTTCAAGTTTCATAGGTGAATCAATGCCTATAATAATTTTTAGAAAAAAAAACATGAAAAAATTCAAAACCAGTACGCACTTTATCTGAATAACTTCTTTTCCAAACTAGTATGCTATATATAATGGTCATCAAAGACTGTGATAAGGAAAACATTCACTTGTAAAAATAACCACACCACCAGAACTAAAAAGATCATGCACTGCACCAATCATATATTATATATGTAAACACACATAATACATAGTATATATAAAAAACATATATAATATAAAGTACATAATACACACACATGTATAAATATATTCCTATATAAATCAGCAAAATCCAGCTTTCAAAGGGGAGTTATATGCCTTTTCTAAAAAATTCTATACATTAAGTATATATGGGATAACATTTCTTGGATTTAAAACCTTATTCTAACTGCTAGGTAAGAGATTTCCTTTTTACAAAAGCTAGATATATATTGGGATGACTGTATTTGGATGAGTATTCTTTCCTGTAGACCAGCAAAGTCTCTGTTAAAAGGGAAAATGCTTAAAACCAAAAACCCAGGAGAACAGAGTAATGCCCTCATACCACTTTGGCAATAAGAGTGGTAGGTGAAATTTTCCTTGGGAAAAATAAAATAACAGAGATAAATGTCTATTAAATGAATTACTGGTATTTTAAAATGTGTGAACCCAAATGTACCATTTTTAACCTAACATTTTAAAGTGAATGTAAGTACAGGTACATTAGTGGCAAATTAAACAGAATTTAGACTGACTTGCTCTTGTTCACAACATTATTTACTGAGGCAACGGCAAAAAATAAACACCCTTCAAGGTGTGGGAAATTGAATAAAAGTGAGTCTAGAAATTTAAAATTTTCCAAAGTATTAAACTTAACCAATTTTTTTTTCTGGCTAGAGATGAAAGCTTCCATTCATTAATATGCATCTATCAACACTACTTTACAACAAATTTAATAAAATACAGAAAAAAATTACTGAACATGATGACATTTTAGAATCTGCAAGTGTTTATTTTCAGAATTTTCATCAGCTACTCAGCTAATGTTTATTTTCAGTGCGCCTTTACTCATTTTAAGCCTTAAATTTTTTGTCTGATCTTGAGCATTCAGACTATGAAAAATATGTGTATTCATTATTCTGTATTAATTCATCTATTAAACATGAGTTCCTTAGTCTATAATCATAGTCTTTTTTCATTCATTTTGATTGTGCCCTGAAAATTTTAGCATTTTAATGTCAATAGAATAAGCTGCGTGTGTATGGACAATGTTGTTTTTGTTATCCTGTAGCACAGAAAAGACAAACACCACTTACTCATATCATGGTAGACTGAGGTTGCCTCTTTTGTCAAGAACAAAGGTGGTTTCCGTGGTGACATAATCTCAATTTTCATAAGTTCTTCACAACAATGCTTCCATTGGCCTAAGACAGACAGAAAAAAAGGCAGACCAGTTTAAAACATAAATGTGAAGATATGTATTTCATTTTTAATAGATAGCAATACATTTTTGCTTTGAATAAAAATCAGTGAATTTATAAATAAAGCACTTCCTTAAGGGAGGCTTGCAGAAAAACCTAGTACTATCCATAATTTCAAAGTCCAGTTCTGAACATAAAAGTAATCTATTCAAAAAAAAAGTTCGGCCAGGTGCGGTGGCCCACGCCTGTAATCCCAGCAAGTTGGAAGGCCTAGGTTTCTTCTGACTGGTAACATCTGAGGTCAGGAGTTCAAGACCAGCCTGGCCAACATGGGGAAACCCCTTCTCTACTAAAAATACAAAAATTAGCTGGGTGTGGTGGTGGAGGTGCCTGTAGTCCCAGGTACTCAGGAGGCTGAGGTAGGAGGATCACTTGGAGGTGGAGGTTACAATGAGCTGAGATTGCACCACTGTACTCCAGACTGGGCGATAGAGAGAGGGACTCCGTCTCAAAAAAAAAAAAAGAAAAAGAAAAGAAAAAGAAAAAAAATACTTCTATGCAAACATTAGGCTAAAATCTCTAGGCTATTAAATACTACTCTATTTCACTAAATGGTTAATAACTACTTTAAAATTTCTATTTATTGCAAAAGTTTGTGCAGGTTCTCTTTTTTAAATATTAAACATTAAGTATTCAAGACGTTGAAAGGTTAATCAACTGAAATATAGTTACCTAGAAGGAAATAGAAAAAAACATAAAGGAGTGAGGTTCTCAAAAATGGTTTTAACTATGAAAATTTTGATTAAGAAAGAAAAGTTATTTATTTAATAACTGTTCCTTTAAGATGATTGTCATGCTTTTCAAAATCATTTAACTTTAGAAAATCACTATATTTTCATTTAGGTTTTAAAAGGTATATAAAAAACCTATTACTATAAAGTCATATCACTCAATAAAATTCTGAGTCTAATTTGTTTTAGGAAGGACACATTAAATAAAGGCATTTGAAATAAGAAAAAATACTCTTGACTAAAATCTTTCAACTATTAAGTTAAAATTTAAGTGTGGACATTAATTTTTTATTTTAATTCACACTATTTTAGTCTTAAATTTTTTAGATTTCTCCTGAGTGATGTCTAAAAATTTAATCTTTTCTTACTTATTGTGCACCTGCATGCTGGAAAGCAACTATGCTAGTTCCTACATATCTATATATTAATTTTATAAGAGTAAGTTACTGGGGTTCACCTTCTTACAGCCTATCTTATACCAGTAGAAAAGTAAATGCAATACACCTATGTTGTATATCCATATTTAATATCCAACTTGGTTTTTTTCTATGACTTAAAAACTAAGGATACTTCATGTTTAATAAAATTACTCATTTTTGTTGTTTGTAGTTAAATATACTATTACAGTAATATGATAATACATGCATAAATTTAAAATCCACCACCATTAGTTAAGAAACAAAAAAAGCCTTTCAGTATGTTTTATTATGATGCTAAGCACAGATTATGGTAAAAATTTCAAAATAAGCAACATAGCAACTGAGGAAGGGAGTAAATTCTTAAGTACAAGGCTTCAAAGGTTGATCTCTAGAATGTTAGGATCTGAGATCTGATAACTTATTCCTCCCCACACTTCCTTTTATAGATAAATATATAAAAGTCAGTTTTTTTCTTCTTGGGGGCAGGGAAAAAAACCCGTATCTAATGGAAAAATAATGAAACACTTTAAACTGGCACACATTTCTGTCACATTCTTAGAAAAATTATTATAAAGTACAGTATCTTCTCTGTATTGATAAATGAAAGCATTTCATTGTTAAACTAGTATCAGAATACGAGTTACAATGAAAACTGGAATATAATGCCACATTATTCCACGTGTTACTAAAGTCAGAGGTACAAATGTGTTCATGGGTCAAGACTTCACGATTGAACCATTGATTTTGCCAGCAAATAAATCTCTATGCATAGCTATACATGCTAGCCAATATGCTAACATGAAAACAAGGGCGCAATATGAAATATTAAATGGGTATGTTTTGTTCACATAACAATTTATATAATGAAGATGTTTCCTAAAGTATCATTTACTGTTATAGTATTCCCAGTCAAAATAATTTTTTATGCTACGCTCTTAATGTAACTCAATATTTATACTGTTAAATATTTTAAAGTTTTAATGTTCCAAATCTATCTCAATTTTTGATATCTTTGACCTTCGATTCATTCTTTGCTCTACTCCTATTGACCATCCAGAACACGTCACTCCTCTTTTACATGTTTGTTAACCCACAAATATTAAAAATAGCTATTACATCCCTCTTGCCCACCAACATCCACCCGAGGCTATACTTCCCCAGGCTAAACAGATACATTTCCATAAGTGTTTCCTCCTGAGTTCTAATTATCACACCCTCCTGGTTTTCTATTCTTAAATAGCGCCAAATAATTGAGATTTGCTCTCAATATTAAATTTCTCTTACTTTACTCTGCCCTGAATATCTATCCTGTACTTTGTTCTATGTACCATACTTCAACCAGAATCACAAGAGGTTGCACCTGTCACTAGGAAAGTTAAAATTTTAAAGTACAAGTCAATTTTTTAGTATGGTATAAATACCTCCATCTTTGCTTCATATATCCATACACAATGAATTCTGAATTTTGAAGTATAAATAGAATTTGTACTTTAAAAATTACATAGGTTGGCAGTTTTTATGCAAAAAAGCATTAAATACCAAAAAAGCAACCAGACCCAAGACCAAGTTGTCATCACTTATTATGCTGACAGTACAAAAATGTCATGAGATTCTTATTCCTTCAAATCCCCATTTTAGCATGATAAATTATTTCACATAATCTAGAGAATGAAAGCATGAGATGATCATCTAATAGTAATTGGTATCTAGACTACAAGATTTTGGTATTATCACCTTCATTTACCTCTCCCCCTGTTTTTATGAACATAACAATTATAAAATAGCTGGGCCCGGTGGCTCATGCCTATAATCCCAGCACTTTGGGGGGTCGAGGTGGGCGGATCACCTGAGGTCTGGAGTTTGAGACCAGCCTGACCAACATGGAGAAATCCCGTCTCTACTAAAAATACGAAATTAGTCGGGTGTGGTGGCACATGCCTGTAATCCCAGCTACTCAGGAGACTGAGGCAGAAGATTCGCATGAACCCAGGAGGCGGAGGTTGCAGTGAGCCAAGATCGTGGCATTGCACTCCAGCCTGGGCAACAAGAGCGAAACTCCATCTCAAAAAAATAAAAATAAAATAAATAAAATAAAAATACCAGAATCATTTCTAAACATAAGATAGTCATTTATAACATGGATTCTCTAAGACAGAGCATTTAGGAAAATGGTTCAAGTTTTAGCTATGATTAGCAAAAGCAAGGAAGTTCTTGTCTTTTAAGTTACACACCTGAGATTTGCCGATTTTTTTTTTTTTTTTTTTTTTTTTTAAGACAAGTCTTGCTCTGTCGCCCAGGTTGGAGTGTACAGGTGAGATCTTCACTCACTGCAACCTCCACCACCCAGCTTCAAGCGACAAGTAGCTGGGACTACAGGCATGTGCCACCACGCCTGGCTAATTTTTATATTTTTAGTAGATATGGGGTTTCACCATGTTCGTCAGGCTAGTCTCGAACTCCTGACCTCAGGTGGTGCACCTGCCTCGGCCTCCCAGAGTGCTGGGATTACAGGCATGAGCCACCGTGCCTGGCCTGAAAATTTTAACTAAATAAATGTGGTACACGCTGATAAGCATGAAATGAATATTTGAACATTTATTGAGTTTCTAGGGATGATACTTAAGGAAAACAAGTCCTAAACAAGTCCAAAATCCAAGAAAGCCATGGAGGGAATCCTCTAGTTCAATGCTGTGAACCAGAAACCTCTTCAGGCCTAAGTTTTCTCATCTTCAGAGCAAAGGGAAATAATTGCTACCCCACAAGAGTGTTAAGAGAAATAAATGAAATAATCTGTTATATGGGAAATAATCCATAAATTTAGATCCCCTTCTTGCCTCTTCCCCAACTTCTAACTTGAGGGCTTGCAGGTATTACCTCTTCTTCCTAGTGTTCCAGAAAACAGAATTCCTAAAATGTCCGTCCCTAGGATTATTTCTATGAGTTTCAGAAATAATTTCCTTTTTGGAAATGTCTCAACTTTCTATGGAATAGCATTCAATAGACAAAATACTGGTAGTATCCATCAGTAGGGTTTGTTTGATCAGAAACAGATATTATCAACATTCTAAGTTTTCAACATAATGATAATATGCTGTTAGACTTATTGTCAGTAAACACAAAGAACTGTTATGAAGTCAATATTTTCCTGTTGATAAAATTCCTCCTTGAGAAATATTAGAACCTCATATATTTTACACACTAGAGTCCTATTACATTACCATCCCATTGTTTTTATGTCCATGTCATTGGAATGTATTATTGAGATGAGAAAATCATGTGTGTATGGTTTTTTAAAAAACCTGTCTGGATGATGTCCAAGAAGATGGTAACGAATCTGGAGTTAAGGGAAGGCTACAAAAGTGAGACTCTTGAATGTTTCAATATTTTAGGATCATCATTATCCTGGAAAAGTTTTTTGTTCCTCAAATGGCTTCTTATCCCTTTGATCAAACACATTGCCTTCAACAGTTAAATCCTAACATTTTGAGACAATATGATCTGACTGTTTTAGTGACCAAAGGAGCTTCAAAAAGTAGGAGGTAGAGATGCTAGAATCCAAACATATACTACACAATAGTCAGTCAGGCACTGGAAAGAGACTGAGAGCAAAAAGCATCACTGCATTGATGATATACTACCATTTTTTCAAGAACATAAAAAAGTTTTGCTATAAACTATAAGATTATAATTGTAAGATTGCTGTGCACATCCTTTTAGGCTACATAAATATACACAACTAAAAAATCCAAATATCTATTTACTAAGATCAAAGAAATGCTGCCAGAAGGCTTCCATCCACTGCTGAAGATCTTCTCTATTGTCAACTGCAAAAATCTGAGTTATAGCTTGTCCAGGAACAGGATTGATGACAGAGAAATTATGGATTCTTTTCTTGGCATCCTTATCCATTGCCCGGATTCTGGTTTCCTAAAATTTAAGAAAAAAAGTGGGGTTTTGCATGAGGAAATTTCTGTAATGATCAAACAAATGTTTTATTGCTTAGCGACCATATTTACACCTGATGTAACCATGATCTTTTTTTTTTTTTTTTTTTTTTGAGACGGAGTCTCGCTCTGTCGCCCAGACTGGAGTGCAGTGGCCGGATCTCAGCTCACTGCAAGCTCCGCCTCCCGGGTTTACGCTATTCTCCTGCCTCAGCCTCCCGAGTAGCTGGGACTACAGGCGCCAGCCACCTCGCCCGGCTAGTTTTTTTTTGTATTTTTTAGTAGAGACGGGGTTTCACCGTGTCAGCCAGGATGGTCTCGATCTCCTGACCTCGTGATCCGCCCGTCTCGGCCTCCCAAAGTGCTAGGATTACAGGCTTGAGCCACCGCGCCCGGCCGTAACCATGATCTTATTGCTCATCATTTGAAATTTAAAACATGTAATTTTGAGAATTTTTTATATTCAAACTCCAATCTAGAAGGTTTTTAAAAAAGAATGCCTTATATAAAAAAACCTGAATAATGTCTTAAAGTATGCTATATATAGCACTTATGCTAAATTACATGATATTAAAACATAACCCCTGTTTTGATCTATCTCAGTTTAAGTGGAAGTTTGCTGTCTTTTATATACATCTTAAAATTTCCAATAAAACAAGTACAGCATGTCATAACTGTAATGTGGATTACACATTAACTATATTTCAAATTAATAAAATAATCAGTAAAGTATGTTTCCTATTCTAATCTTCATGCATAATATCTAGTGCTATTAGTTAAAGCAGTAAAACCATAACTTAGTGTTTACTGTAGCAAAAGTTAGGTTTTCCTCATTAACATTTATTTTGTATGTAACATTCATTTACAAAGTTCATAGCTAAAGATCCATAAAGTAATATAATCTTATAGTTAAAATTAGTTTTAAAGTGCTAAGTACAAGACTACCACAAACGCAATGGTTTCATTCACGCTGACAGTCTAAACCTTTTTTTCTGAGTGATACTAGATATGCTATTATGATGACACTTATTGATTCTACACTTACAAGATTCTGAGAAGTCTATTCCCAAGTCACACACAGGCACAGCCATGCCACATGGTAAGCTAGCAACTACATGTGGTTTTAACCAAGGAATATTGGGGGATAAAGTCTGTACCAGAACTATCTATTGCACAAAGATAGAGATTTGATGCCTAGATAATGATTCATTTACACTATTCTAGGGCAATGCTGTCTGGTAGAAATACAATGTGAGCCACGTATGTAATTGAAAATTTTCTAAAAACCATGATAAGTAAAAAGAAACTGCTGAAATTAATTTAATGATGTATTTCACGTAACTCAGCATATCTGAAATATGTTGAAGGCTTTCATACTAAGCCTTCAAAATCCAGTTTGTATTTTACACTTACAGCACCTCTCAATCTGGATCAGCCACATTGCAAGTGTCTAACAGTCACTACGGGATAGTGGCTACTGCACTGTACATAGTGGTTCAAGAGAATCATGGTTAAGCCTACTGTAATGTGTGACAAGAATATTTTGGCTGGTAGTAATAAAAGCTGATTAAGAATAGAAAGAAATTCTTCACTGAGTAAAGTGTGAAGAGAGGCTATACAGTCACACACCAAAACCTACATATACATATAATGTGGATATTATGTGGTCATTACAGAAGTAGCAGGGTTAGGAAGAAAAGCTATCCATTCCCTGAAAAATGGATAAATACAGGCAGGTGAACACCATATATACTACGCAAGGAATTCCTTTCTGAAAGAATAAATTCTTATTTAAAAACCACAGGGGAAAAATGTATGTTGTATAAAGAGCAACATAACTTTGAACCTTTAGAGTATCACAAAATATAACGATAGTCAACCATGTTAGAGACAGTCTATCCTGTCACTGCAGAAATCTAGGAATGTGAGTGTCTTTAGAGGGCTGTAATGGGACTTATGCCCAGTATCTTGATTTTATCATAATAGAGTCTTTTTATACTTCTATGGCTTGGTAATAAACTTCGTGAATTAATTCCTTTAAGTAAGTATTTTTATTACGTAACAGATTTTGCCCTAAATGGTATCCTTGGAGCTCAAAGATGCACCTAATCATCCACTGTAAATATAAAGCTTATTTATAAGCTTTGTTTTAGCTTATAGCTAGCAGAGAATGACTTAAGCTCTAGGAAGAATCTTTGATATGCTACTCTTATCAGACTAATCAAAGGTTAAATCATAGTGGGGGAAAACCCTCTATTGTTGTATTACAAAATAAAAAGTATTCTTGTTACTGAAATCGTGCTTCCCTCCACCAATTCCATTTTGATAAACATTTCTGACTACTTTTTGTATAAAGGATTAAAGTGGATTCAATTTTTAAATAAGGGAAATTTGATTTTTATCGATGAATTTGGATATTTTTACCAAGGTTTCATTTCAAATGAAACCACTACATAGAAAATCTGATGAACTCAATCATTTATATCCTTCTAAGAGAATATAATGCAAAAATATATAAATACTACTGTATATACTCCATTAATTCTGGTAGCCATAAATATTGCTACATTTTTAAAACATGAGAGGTTTTTAAAAGGTGCAAATGAAATGCAGAATTTGAATTAACTTCTATATGTTATTATCCAAAATAATTTAATGGAAAACTTTTAACCAAAAAATCGCATGTCGAAGAAAAAGTGATTAATACAAGTAAAGTTTCTCAGTGTGTCAGACAGTTCATGCAAGTTGTTTTTTCAGTGTGGGAAAATATCTACAATAGTGCTCAGGTCTTCAATTCTCAAAAAAGGGAGCGATTAGAAAACACTAAGGTGAATTTTAGGACTGTTATTTATGGGTTTATGTGTCTACATAAGGGAAGTATCTCCTCTTAGGGTATGAAAACAAGGAACTTGGTAATTCCCTGCCTACCCCCATATTTCTGCCACCTAAAATATTGCCTAGTAGTCAGTAAATGGCTAAAAAATATTTAAAGAATAAACAAATGAAATAGGAAAAGAACAACTCAAATAATGATTTAAAAATTTTGTACCAAAAGGCCCAGATCCTAGAAATAATCTCCAATCCAATTCTTTATGAGGAAGCATGTTCTGTGAGAAGTATTCTATTAAGCCCAGCGTTTTCCTGTATTGTTTTTGCTAATCTCAAAACTTTAATTATCTAGGAGGTTTTATAGCCAACTTTCCTTGATTTGTAAATAGATTTGAGATTATTCACTGTGAAATTTTAATCTGTAGCTGGGTTTGCTTTTTGTCAGTCTGCAATTTTTCACTCCATGAGATGGTGGTGTTACTTAGAGAATGCCAAGTGATATCAATAAAAACATAATCTGGGAAGTCAATTTTGTAATAAAACAAAAACTCTAAAGTCACAGGGAAGTTTCATTTAGGTTTTAAAAATTATTATTTTGAATTAAAACTGTACTTCCTTTCACCTCTTCATTTCCATGTACATGGAAAATTACTAGAATAGGACTAGATTTATAAATTATTTATGTTCCTTTTGATGATACAACCCTAAAAAATGCACCCAGATTATGGTCTCTAAATACTCTTTACTACAAAAAGGAAACAGCTTTTTGAAGAAATGACTGACCCTCAGCCTGGGCCAGGAAATGTATAAGATGATTCTGGAACATCTTGTCCTATCAGAAATCTAAGATTCCTAGGGTTACGTCAAAAGGATTCAAGAGTCAACTCTAAGGGGCTTCTACCAGTCAAACATTGGACAATTAGAACATCGATTAGAATAGCAATGGCAATGGACAGACACATGACATATCTTTTAAATCCAAAAATTCATAATGATATTTAAACACTAACTCATTGGTCACCTGTGAAAGACGGTAGGAAACTATCTCATTATTTTGGTAACTGACATATAAATGGGAAAAAACAAACAAGCAAACAAACAAACACAAAAAAACCCAAGCACGTATCCTGTCTTCCCTGTTAAGAATTGTACTTCAGGGTAACCAAAGAGCTGATGAAGTAGACATTCCAGCTATAAGCAATGCAAAAATGCTACCGGTTTGCAATCCTTAATGAAATAAAGGATCTAAACGATGCTCATCAGTGGTTGTTAAAATGAGTGGAAGACCTAGATATATGATATGCTTCTCGATGAAAGTATATGACCCTTCCTAAAATGTATTCTTACTAATCAATGAAGAAATCTGAATATGATCCAAAAATGTAAGAAAAAAGGCAGGCTGGGTACGGTGGCTCATGCCAGTAATCCCAGCACTTTTGGAGGCAGAGGCAGGTGGATCACCTGAGGTTAGGAGTTCGAGACCAGTCTGATCAATGTTGAGAAACCCCATCTCTACTAAAAATACAAAATTAGCTGGGCATGGTGGCGCATGCCTGTAATCCCAGCTACTCGAGGGAGGCTGAGGTAGGAGAACCGCTTGAACCTGGGAGGCAGAGGTTGCAACGAGCTGAGATCGCAGCATTACTCTCTAGCCTGGGCAACACGAGCGAAACTCCATCTCAAAAAAAAAGAAAAAGAAAAGAAAAATGGCAACCCAGGGATGCAACTAGAAAAATCCAGACTATGGAAAAACCCTGTGGGATAAAGTACCAATTTCTTCAGCAAATACATTGTGCATGGTGTGTGTGTGTGTGAAGGGGGGAGTTTGAGGTGTGAGTAAACATAAGCTAACATATTCATTATTATTATTAGTAGTAGTAGTAAACTTTTAAGTTCAGGGGTACAAGTGCAGGTTTGTTACATAGGTAAACTTGCGTCACAGGGGTCTGTTGTAAAGATTATTTAATCACCCAGGTATTAAGCCTAGTAACCATTAGTTATTTTTCCTGATCCTCTCCCTCTTCCCACCCTCCATACTCTCCGATAGGCCTCAAGAGTGTGTTGTTCCCCTCTATGTGTCCATGTGTTCTCATCATTTAGCTCTCACTTATAAGTGAGAACATGTGGTATTTGGTTTTCTGTTGCTGTGTTAGT